CAATTTATTTAGATATTAATGCTTTTAATCGCTTCAGAATAAGACATATTTGGTGTGAGATTGGGAACGTTATCTTCAATGTTGTTTGAATTATCATTATCGGTATTAAAAACTCAGATCCGTTTTGAACTTCCATTTTTTAATGCGTTTCATTATGGGAGTTCCCCCTTTTATTTTTTTTGACACAAAATACGCACAATAACATGTCTTAACTAACTAATTTATACAAAACTTAAAAAAAAAAACGGAAAGCAGAATTTGTTCAAAAATTTAAACTAAAAGTTCTAAAAATAACCAAAAGTTCTTTTTAGAGTTCGAATTTGTGAGAGTTCTACTGTATATATGTATATATCTACTGTATATATAAAATATAAAATCTGCTGAAATGTTTGAAATTTTAAATGTAAGTCTTTTATTTATTATTTACTTTAAAACTTAACTTCTGTAGTAAATAAATGAAAACTGCAGATTTTAATAGAATTATCGAGCGACAATGACATTCTACCACTCGCTTATTTAACACTAGTTCATGTGTATTAACTTTTGAGGATGAGGTGCATCAACATGGAAATAATTATTAATTAAAAAAATAAAAATAAAACGCTATTTTTTCGCGAAACTCCGTTTTCACTTGTCGTTTTGTTTATATTATTTTTTTGCACCGTATCATATGTTAAAATCGCATTGCCAACGACATTTCGCAGTTTAATTGCTGGTTCACCCCATTGTTATTGTTTTGCAGCGCAGCTAACAATTACATTAGTAATACTTTGAACTTATGCGGTTTTCGATCGGAAAATCTGGCGCAACTTTATCAATCGAGATTCGCTTTTAATGCAATTTTCGATTTTATTTTCGATTGGTAAATCTCGAGCGAAATGTAAAACACTCGAGATTAATTATTAACACTCTAGACACTTTGCAAGAGTTGCAAAATTACCCTAACATTAACAGCCGTTCTATATGACTTTACAAATAAAGTGTAATTTGATGCAATATATTCATGGAATATATAAATGTCTACTCATACTACTACAAAAATGTTGGTTTATTTCAAAAATGTTTCATTGGACGACAAAATTTAAAATATCAAGAGTAAATCTAGATTGAATCTAGATTTACCAAACAAAAACGCCATTATTCTGAAATTTGTATGTCAATTTAATGTTTTAGCACTTTTATGGTATATAAAATATTATTGTTTAAACTTATGAATATGTAATATTTCCTGATTATTATAGATTTCAAAATATTAGAAAAACATTAACTCATGGTTGGAATGAAGCATTTATAGATTTTAATTTTATATATAAAAAAGCAAAAGAAGAAATCATCAATATTAATGGTAAAACTTACCTCTTCTCTTTTTATATTACCTAATTGTCTGTATTACAATCAAGATTCGCACTTTATAACAATATAAAACAAAGTAGTATATATTGTTCTTTTGACTTTACCGTAAATTACTTGTTTGCGAAATTAAAATCTAGAATTCAAATTCAAATCTTTTACTAAAAGAGTTATACACACACGCACAGTATGGAATAAGAAACTAATTTTTTTTACCAATCAAATTTCATATTTCATTTGTAATTTTTGCTAAGGTGACCAGATTATAATTTTGTCATATTAATTTGAACTTTGCATTTTGAATTTTTACAAGTAACTTTGTTTTTTCGAAATTATATCATCAATTTAAACAAAAAATTATTATATGCGGAATTTTGTGAAATATATTTTTATATGTGACAAAAACGTATTACAAAAATTAAGAAATAAAATTTCTGACTGGATTTACTGCACAATATTATAATTGCAATTTGTCCGTATAAAAACATGAATGCTATTGGTAGTCTAATACTACGTTTACATTGTGAGATTAAGAGAACCAGATTAAGTTAATCTGCATTTTTAATCTCCATCGTTTACATTATACATTGGAGATTATTTTTGATGTTTTTCTCTTGTAATGTTTCGTTTCGTGTCTTTGATAAATTTCTATGGTATATATAAAGCATTTAATTATAATTTTGTACAAAATAGTATAGTTTATTGTTATAGTTTTATAACAATAATTTAAAAAATTTTAGTTATAATTATGTATAAAACTATTACTAAACAAATTTAACAAAAATTTACTCATTTCGGCATTTTCAATTTTTGTTTTAAATAGATTTTGATATTTTTCTTCCAATTCTTCTAAGATCGTAAAAAAATCTACGATATTAGGCCATTTGTAGAGTTGCACAGAAAAATATTTATCATTTCTTAGGAGATTAAAATTTAATCTCGACCAAAACTTGTTTTTTGGTCAATTATTATGAATTATGGAGGCATCAAGTCTGATAATTTGTTTGGTATTCGGTATAACATCAGTGAAGTGTTGCACAAAATTTTAATTTACTTAAAAATTTTAAGTTATAAAAAACGATAAGCAAATATCAACAGAAATAAAAATTCATACAAGAAGAGTTTATATTAGATTCACATAAGAGTTTTGATTGTAATTTTAGCTTTTAAAAATTTTGAATTGACATCTGAAATTAAAAAGCAAAAATATCGATTTACACGACTTAATATTGTAATTTGATTATTAAATTTATCATATGTTCACGCTTTTTAACTACTTTCACAAAATAACATATTTACTTTGCACATATGCTGGATTGTTATTTATGAATAAATTTTAATATATGATATATTTGCTAAATTTTTTTGGAGATATTTAATATTTTAGTTAAAACATTGAAATGAAATAGATAAATATTTATTCTATTTCTTAAACATATATTCTATACTTTAGAAATTGAACTTTTTTTTGAAACTTAAAATTTCCCAAATGAAAACCTGAAACGATAATGTAAAACTTTAACTTTTGGGAATCAACAGTAGCAAAGTTCGTTCACTAAAGATCTTTAACATTAAGATGTTACGGCATTCGTTCACGGCATTACTTAAGAATAAATAAAGGGAAATTGTTCTTAAAATGTCGAATGCAACATTAGTCCTTTTCTTTTGTGAGTATGTCGCAAAAGAACAACATAAAATAAGTACTACCTCTGGCGGCAATTCTGGAAGAACCGGAAATTGTGTTAGGCTTATATATGCAAAACATGTTATAAAATTTAAATTTAAAGTTTTCGAAAATGAATAATAATTCTTTACAATTATAGGTAAGAATATTTAATTATTTACATGATTGTGAATGAAATTTGTATTTTTGAGCTTTTTGAGAGATGAGCATAATTTTTTAATTTTAGTAAATGAAAAAGAATTGAGTATTATTTGTAAAATATTTGTTGACAGTTAACTGGAAATTTTGTACGTACTTCCAAAAACCGTTCCAAATAGACGAATTTTTAATCTTGGCAATCAATCATGCAATTTGAGCTGGTCATTAGTTAAGCGGTTTCAAAAAAATTGGACTAAATAAGCCAGCAGTGTTGTTGTTTCATATGTTATTATAAAAATAAACGGTTGTTCTTTTGTGATTTGCTTACAAAAGAAAAAGCCAATTGCAAAACATGTTTTCCAAAAGGGAAATTATTGAAATGACATATTTGACACATAAAACAAAATGTAAATAAGCAAAAAATAAACAAAGAGTAAGAATTTTTAAAATGTTTGTTTTTTTTAAATAAATATTATACACAACATATTTTGTAGTTTCTGCGTTTTCCATGATCAATCATTTAATTTTGCTAACAATACAGTTCAAATGTGAACAAACAAAAGCTCTCTTAGAACTTTCACTGAACTTTCTAACACTTAAAAGCTCTTTCACGTGCATAAATCAACTTATGTCAATGGAAATGACCGAATGTTAATTTGATTAACATAAATTGATTTAGTTGTAGTGAGAATATGGTATAAGTCGGCTTTGGTGTAAAAAGATGCCTTCCAATATTTCATCTATTTATTAATAAATCTAAGAAAAAACTTTTATACAAACTTTCTGACACTTAAAAGCTCTTTTACATGCTTAAACCAACTTATGTCAATGAAAAAGACCGAATGTTACTTTGATTAACATAAATTGATTTAGTTGTAGTGAGAACATGGTATAAGTCGAAAGGCTACTTTTAGAGTTTATTATTTCTATTTTAAGTTTATTAACAAATATAAGAAAAAAACTTTTTTATAACAATTATTTATTTGATTTTATTAATTTTCAACATTTTGTCTATAATAAAGTACAATATTTGCTTAAACTTGTTCAAAGGTGCTTTAATTTCTTGTTTATAATTTTTATTATTCCTCCATAATTAAAATTATTAATGTACTTTCATAAATTAAATTGAATTAAAATTGAACACAAATGCTTTTATATGAAGTCATTAATATATTGATATGTATACAGTTTGTATGAATATATAATATAAAACTATATATAGTATAAAGAAATAAAAATAGATTAGTAAAAATGTCATGTTAGGTATAAATATTTGATTTTAACTGTTGAATCCACCAGTGGCTGTAAGTCTATTATAAAAGGATGCGGAGTAATTTTTAAAAATATATTTTATAAAATAGAAAAATTAATGTATAAATTAAATATATATGTTGCATTTAGCATTCGATGAATATCGAATGCAGTAAACAGGCAATTTAAAATGGAAGTTTGTAAAATTTATGCAAATTAATTATTTAATTCAAATGGAAGCTTTTTTGTAATTAATTTCCTCTGGAAGTTTGTTTCGGAAGTAATTTAATTCTTTAATTCAAATGAAATAATTATTCTGATTTTTTTTTTAATTGAAGGCTTCTTAAATATTATATATAAAAAATGTTTTGTTCTAGTGTAATTTCGATATGTATTTTTTAATTTATTTTAGTACATTTTTACTGAAACCCAATTCCAATTAATTTAACAACCTTCAATTAAAAATATTATATTTTTGGGACAATTTTATTTATAAAATTTTTAAAAAGAAAAATTTATTTGCAAATATTTTAAAGGTTTTTTTTTTACGATTATTAATTTCAATTTTAAAATTTCTTTTGATAATTTCTATAACAAAATAGACAAAAAATAATGCCTCTTCGATTTATTTTAGATCTGATTATATAAAAAGCTGCGCTTATACTAAGGTCATTGCTATTAAGAACTAGAGCACATTCAATTCCAGCTATTGATATTCGTTGGAGTCACTATCTAAGCCGGTTGACGACGCTTTCGAGAAACGTCTATGCCAATAGTCATTATAGCGCGCCTCATGTTGTGCAGCGGGTCGCCACGGTGGCCATTTCAGCTATTCCTCAACAAGATCCCAGACCATGAGGGAAGCGTCTGTGCCACCCACTGTAACAACTGTTTGATCCCCGTAAAGGAAACGTGCGCATGCAAGCATACCAGAGTACACCTTTGATTCATGAAACTCTGCACGTGGACTAATGCATGGATATCTAAAATAAACAGGTATTTTCCACATAATATATGAGTATTGAAAAGTTAATAAAAAAAAATATGTAAATATTACCTAAACAAACGTAAATAACCATCTGCATCGCCTGAAACTAGCATATCCTGTGTAGATGAACGACTGCAGGTGGCTATGATCGAAGTAGTGTTGCTGTAGTAGCGATTGCTCCACATGCCAGCAACCAAAAAGCCGACTGTACAGTTGCTTGTTAACCATTTAACGTCTTTCATGGCAATGGGACTGCGCTCTGGTGAGAGTGACTTTGCATCCCAGAAAAGTAAATCGAAATCAATTGTTACTGTTTGTACATAATTGCCATCCATACTCCAGTCCAAATGCGTTAACGGTTGGGAGCCACGAATTTTATTCACTTTTTTGTATGAGAAACCATCTCGAGAGACACGGAAAAGATAAATGCTACCATTTTGTGAGCCCATTGCGATCATGTCACCAACTATAAACAAAAATTAATAAAAATATATGTAACTATTTGGGTTTTGCCAGCTTTAGATTTATATTTTTATAAATAATATTAAAAAATAATTCATACGTGTATTAAACTAATAATTTCATTTGTTTAAATCAAACAAAAATAATAGTTTATTTATTAAAAGAAGATATCAATAGTTCATATTTGAAAACAGTTATACATATATCTTGTTGATATATATTATATATTATAATAATAGTATTTTAAAATAATATAAAAAAAATACAAAAAGAAGTTACTAAATTGCAGAATCTTAAAGACTAATACCTGTCTGTAACCTTTAATGAAAACATAAATGACTACAGAAAATCGTATGAAGAAATCTTGCCGTATAAAAATCAAAGAAACTTGCTGAGGCTATGGGTACTTGAGTTGCTTGATTTTTGAATATATTGCAAAAAGATTTAGGTGTGCGAAATATTTGATAACTTTGTACCAAAAATACTATAAAACTAGTCACTAAATCGCTTTCTAAAGCTATAAGAACAATTTAAACAAACCAGGATTAAGCGTTACAATATAGTAGGAAATGAGCGGGCAGATAAACCAACCCGACCGGGCTCGTCTTCAACGGAAACTCCTATTTTAATCTCTGCTCCTGTCAGTCATAGAGGCCGTAGATTGATTTATGATCATTTTCTGCGACCGGCAAATAGGAAGTGGACTCTTCAGGAGCCAGGACAAGAGCTACTTGGCCATTTTACTCAAAATGTCGAACTTCTGACTTGGTACACAGAAGAAAAACAGAAATATTAAGGTTATCATCATTTTTCTAATAGGACACTGGATTATAGGATGGCCTGTGGTATCTTCTATATTAGATGTCTACCGGGGTTCGTAAAGAAGACACCAAAACATTTGTTTTTTCTATGTCTAAAATTGTCTAGAACCATAACTAAACTATTGGATGACAGCATTTTCCAAATCTCCCTCTTTTCATGTCAAAAAGAGAGTTTTTTCAAATATTTGTTTAAACAGCTTTTTTTCTATAATTTCTTTTCTTTTTTTCTATAAGGACGGATGTCTAAGGCAAAAATGTTTACTCGTTAGAAATTTGTGTTTTGTGTTATAAAGCACATATGTACACTTTTGCATACTAAAGAAAAATATATCATATAACACTTCGTTCAATAATGTGTGTGACTAACTAATTAAAACACATTTTTTTGCCAAAATTCGTTTTTATTCATCAACATAGTCCCCTTTTAGGGAGATACAATCATTCCAACGGTTTTGCAATCTACCGCCTTTGTAAAACGATTTTACTTTGCCTTCAAAATAGGTGTTAGTTTCGGCGATTACTTCATCATTAGAGCCAAATCTCTTACCACGGAGCATCTTTTTGAGGTCTGCGAAGAGCCAGTAGTCGCTGGGGGCCAGATCTGGGGAATACGGTGAGTGCGGCAGCAATTCGTAGCTCTATTCGTTCAATTTTGCCATCGTTTTCATTGACTTGTGACACGGTGCATTGTCTTGGTGGAACAAAACTGTTTCTTCGCCATATGAGATCGTTTCTTTGCGATTTCGTCTTTCAAACGCTCCAATAACGCTATATAATAGTCGCTGTTGATGGTCTTTCCCTTCTGGAGATAGTCGATGAATATTATTCCATGCGCATCCAGAGTCAGATTTGACTCTGGAGTGAAATGGTGGATCCATGTTTCATCCATCGTGATGTACCGACGCAAAAACTCCGACTTATTGCGCGTAAACATGTCCAAACAGCTCTTTGAATCATCGATTCGTTGTTGTTTTTACTCCGGTGTGAGCAAACGCGGCACTCATTTGGAAAACACCTTTTTTATACCCAAATGTTCGTGTATTATGGTGTGTACACTGCCTGCTGATATCTATAGAATGTCAGCAATCTCCCTCACTTTCACTTTACGGTCGGACATAATGATTTTCAGTGTTTTTTCAACGTTTCCCGGAATAACAGCGTCATTTGACCGTCCAGTAGATGAAATGTCATCGGTGTCTGTACGACCACGTTTGAATTCGGCATACCAATAACAAATGCTTCTTTTTGATGGAGCAGAGTCCGAATAATATTTTTCAAGCCATTCCTGGCATTGAACAGTATTTTTTTTCATTAAAAAACAATGATAAATCAGCACACGGAATTGCTTTGAATTCATTTTTTTTTGAAAACTCAAAAGTAGCGTCACTTAAAGCACTGTAACTTGTAAACAAATGGTCGGATTAACATATGATTTTGACAGTAAGCCTAAAAAGGTTGACACTTTCGAAAAAAAAGTATTTATTTAGTATTAGTGCAACCATCTATGTGTCAGTCACACACATTATTGAACGAAGTGTTATGTCATTTATAAAAATATATGACTTATTTGTAAACACTTATGCGGTTTTCGATTAGTAAATCTGGGGCAACTTTTTAATCGAGATTCATTTTTAGAGCAATATTCATTTTCAATTGCAAAATCTCTCGGCTGTCAATCTCAGCTGAAATAAATAACACTTGAAATAAATTTATAACACTCTAGATATTTCGCTAAAGTACCTCCGATCACCCTGAAACTAACAGCTGTTTTAAATGACTTGGCAAATAAAGTCTGAATTGATTCTATGTTCGACTGGACAATAAAATTTGACAGATCGAGAGTAAATATAGATTGAATACAATCTAGATTTAAGTTCATTCTCTTAATTTTTACCAATTGAAACACCATTAGAATATAATATAATATAAAATAGTAAAATCTATTTACAATAGTTAAAAATTGTTTTAATATTAAATTTTATATTCTCTGATTTAAGTCAAAAAAAAATATATTTACTGTATTTAATAGATTTTTCAATAAAAATAAAATTTCCAGGTCACTTGTTTGCAACAAATGATTCGCTGTCAAATACATCAAAGTGTTAAGACTTACCTTGATTGTAGGCAACACAATTTAACGGTGAACCGCACACTCGCAATGTCAACATCACCGAACCATTTTCACAATTTATTACAAGTAAATGACCCTCAGTGCTGCCAGCAGCCAGAGCGGTACCAAATGGATGAAATGCTAACGAAACGCATTCATAGCCCGTTTGTATGCTCCAAATAAGTTTATTTTTACGCCACAAGGCGATGTGTTTGTCATGGCCAGCGGTAGCGTAAAGCTCGTCTTCAGGATGTGCGGCCAAACCCCACAATTGACGGCCGTGTCCGAAAACAACTTGTGTGAATCGCCGTTGTAAAGAGCCCTCAAGGATATTGTTACGTGTGGTGCCAACGTATATATTGCCGTCATTCCGGCCCGGACGTTGGGGATAAATAGTGCGTACGCCACCAGCAGACTCCGGCAGCTAAAAAAAATGTTTTCCGATTAATTTTCTGTTTATTTATTGTAAAGAATTATTTTACTCGCAATTTAAGTGTTATTTATTGTTAATGTAATGAGGTAAATAATATATTTCAATTTCAATTTCAATATCTTAATATCAATGCAATAAATTTGATAATTAAATTTATAATAACAATAAATGTTTAAATATTTTATTATTGTTGAGTCAATCATTCAGGGCATCTCTCATGTAGTTATTAATGATTGAATTACAGAATTTATAATAACAAATATATAGGAGATATTTCTTAAAAGTATTCAATATAATGAAAACTCTCTAAAGTGTGTCCAGACGAAACTACCATATCTGTGCGGCTAACCGAAATGTCCGCTTAAAATAGCTTCGTATAAAAAGAAATCATAGGGACTAATATAATGTTTCTATTTGTCTCATTTAGAAAGCTTTGCTTTTTAACGTGGCTAACAGCATGTTTCGACTGTTACTGTTAGACCAGTTAACTTACTTAAGGATGCTAAGTAAATTTCATTAACCTCACAAAGAGCTTCCGTGCTTTTTAACGTACTTAAAAATAAAACGAAGGAAATTAGACCCAAAATATTGAATGTAATAATACGTTTCCACTGGCTTTGATAGAACAATTAACTTACTTGAGATTAATTGAATTATTTGAATCTCAAGTAAGCCACTAGAAACGTAGCAGAATAGTATGTTTCCATTGCTTACTCAGTAAGTGTAACCTTACAAAAAGCATCTTCGTTTTATGTGAACTTACTGACACATAAAAGCTTTTTCACATGCAATAAGTAACTTACGTCTATGGAAACCTCAAAATCTTAAAGTTATTTAAGTAGCTTACTAAGTAAGCAGTAGAAACATGGTATAATGAGCATAATCTACTATACAAAGAGCTTTCATATTAATGATCTTATTATATATAAAACAAGCCATTTAAGACAAAAAATGTTGAATGCAACCCTTTAAAAATAAATTACCCTTGCGTGAAATTAAATAATATATAGTACATGTACAATAAAATTATTTGCTATTATTAGTGATTTAGTAGTTTAATTCAATAATAATAATTTAGAATTCCAGCTTACCTTTGTATCGGCAATTTTTTTATAATTTTGCAGTGAGTCCCATGCAGCGATTTTTCGATCTTTTTCACCACCTGATAATAAAGTACCCTCTCCCAGCATGATGAGACAACCAATACCTTTGTTATGTGCTTCAAATTCGGTACGCACAAAATAAGCACCATCAGAGTCGACTGAATAGATTGTTATAAAACCATCCGAATCAGCAGTGATTACATCGCCATCCGGTTCAAATTGAACGCTTGTGACATGAGAACGTGAGGGCTGTTTCACTATATCGGTACGCTCAAAGAAACCATCTTTACGTCTATGCCAAAAAGCCAAATGACCACGTCCATGTGTTATAATAAGATTATCATCTAATGGATGAAAAGCTGCTCCCGACAAACCTTCTTGCAATGTCTTCAGAAAAAATATATAAATAAAAATGGTTTGTGTATAATAGATGTAGGATATTTTATAATAACTTACAGCTACTTTTCCTAATAGATGTCCCCATTGCCATTGCCAAACAGATAGTATGCTTTCACGTCCACTATCCACAGCTAAAATGTAACTACCACCGTTCTATGGAATTATTATTTGAATAATCAAACAAATTAATTTTTTTTTAATTAAAATAATATAGTTATATTGGGAATTACTTACCAATTGTGAAAATGCTACGGCAGTAACTCCACTGTCCAATTCACCCATTCCGAACACATATAAGGTTTGTAAAGATTCAGTACTCCATATGCGTACGTGCGCTTGTGATTTACGATCTCGACCTGCTTTCTGTCCGGATGCAACAAGTTCTCTTGATGGATGCACATCCATGCTAAGAATATAAGTTATTTAAAGTTTTTGTTTTTATTAATAAGTAATTTTATGGAATATGTTTACTTACCACATGATATCTTCTGTATGTCCAATATAATGACGCTGCGCATCTTCATCACGATCGAGCAACACAGCTACAGCGGCTACATAATAAAGCAATTCCCCAGATGGTAAGACCCAAAGATTACGTCTCGCATCAATACCTCGGTAACCGTGACTATAACAGATTATATAATTAAGTAGTGGATCTAATGTTATAATAAATTATTAAGTTGGTGATTTGTTTTTGAGTTAATAACTGAAGTAAATGCATTCAATTATATAACTTAGTCCACTGACAATGTGGCAGTAAGCTTTTTAGTTAAATTTAAAGAGACTATAAATACATCTGCCAGTAGTGGTAGAGGTTGTCTTCAGCAAAGAGAAAGTAGTCTTCGGACTTTGATACTTTGATTATGACTTATTTTCTAATTTATTTGTCTTATGTGTTGTGGTCCAAAGAATATCTTAGATTTATTATTTTTATTACTGTATCTCTCCTATGCTTCTGTTAAGTTGATATCTAGAAAATCTAGATATTATCAGCGAACTATATTTATCTTAAATTTTTACTACAATTGCTATTCAATTTAAGCCAATAATTTATTATTATTTTCTTGGGCGTCGCCAAGAAGCAGGAATACTCCATAAAAAAACTGACTTATAAAAATCGAAAAAAGAGCAACCGTTTCGAAACACGTTAGCATAATCAAAGTTCCATAATATCTTCTAATTTAATTTACTACAATATACATAAAAAAAGAGTGGATACAAGAATATTTGCTACTGATCTGTTATAACACATTCAGTTTGACTAATGCTTCTTTTCGTCACAAAATGTAATTGTGGATACATTTTCGAATTTCAACGTGCATATAACTCAATTAGTTACTATCATGATTACTATACTTAATCCTTTTCCTTAAACAAAGTCTTATAATTTAAATTTAATTAATATTTTAATTTATTTATGTATCCGGAATTATGAAATAAAATACAAAATCTGAATTCATTTCAAATACTTCAAAGAATTTTTTAAGACTATAATCAACTCTAAATAATCTAAATGCCTGAAATGATCATTTCAGAAACAGACAGACAGGAATAGACAGAAGTCCTTGTCCAGTGAGAACGCTACATGGTCGACCACATTCATTGATTTTTTGAGCTCAAAACACATAAACATGGCTGTGGGCATTCTTAGAACAATCTAAAGTATTATTAGAAAAACAGCTGATAAAAGCATAATGAGTACACATTATATACTATATTAATACAGTAAACTTCCATAATTCGAATTTCTATAACTCGAATTTTCCATACCTCGAACCAAAAACAGTGCACTAAGGCAATTCTGTTTTCATAACTCGAACTTCTATAACTCGAATTTCTCTATAACCGAACAAAAATTTTGTTCCGTGCCGATAGGAATATGAGAAAGTGCATTCCATAAGTCGAATTTTCGTTTTAAGTATAAATGCATTTTGCTGTTAGGGGAAGTCCCTTTTTCCAAACCAAATGTTCAATTTTTTTTTCTTAATTAAAATAACTTCCAATGCTACTCTTAATGATTATATTGAACTTGTGAAATTTGTACATCAAGCTTTCCTGCAGATGACGATATTATTGAGCACTATAGCTCTAAATTACTGGATCCAATTCTAAGCGCAACGGAAAGTAATGAGGGTTCGTTCCGTGGATGTAATTATTCATCAGCCTTCTGAAGTAGAAGACTCTTTCAAAATACTGAATTTATATTTGCAAACGAATGATACTACAACTGATGATCACTATAAGGCTTGGAATAAATTGGAATCTTTTTTTACAGTGCTGCCAACTTACAGAAAAAACTTCTTTTGGGTACGTTTTTTTATTATAAACTCCTGATTTTTATAATGGTTTATATATCTATGCATTATGCTCATGCAATGTCAATAGAAACGTTTCAATAGAAAAGTCAATCAGTTTGCAATGTCTAGAGAAAATTCTGAAGAATTGATTTTCTTGAACATAATAAGGCGATTGTATTAGTTTAGATTAGATTAATCTGTACTTAGTCAGTCACGTATGGACCTATTAGTCCACACCGGTATCAGTTTATGTAAGACCTCTGATCACTCTCCAGTGGAATGATCAAGCTGGGGGAGCACTAACCGGAATTGATATACGACCGAAACCTAGTAACGGATTGTTATGGCTCAACAAGTAAAGAAGTAAACATTATTAAACAGAGGTATGTCGATCAATACATTGGATCGAAATAAAGATTTTAATATTATGACTTTTATGTTTTATGTTTATTTTTTTAAATGTACTCGTATTAATAGC